CGGAGTCGCACATGAACAAAGAATGCCTACCTACATGACATTAGTCTGAACTGCGAGTTAAATGATGCAAACAGTGCTTCTGTTGGAAATACCGTCTGTTCATACGCAAGATCTGGACTTGTGTGTAAGAAAAATTTCAGATGTTCTTCTACCGCTTCCATCATACACCCAGAAAATTTCAGCTTCCCAGTTCAGCTAGCTCTCGAAATCGCTTTCTCCAAAAATAGTTCTATATGTTCGCGAGCGTGATACAGATGTACGTAATGGGTTCACATGTATGCAGCAAATATTCTCATAAAATTAGATGAACTTACTCGGTCTGGTTCCTGAGTTGGCATTTTGCCAGCTACCGCGAAATCGCAATTTTGATGTGTCCGTACACATTATGTACGTACAAATTCACATATTTATAGATACATCCACGTACCTATCTCATACACGTACGCATCTCAGTACACAAGACGTACACGTAAACAAACGCGCAACTGTCTAAGACATATACATGCACGCACACACAAACGCAGACTAGTACACACATATCAATACTTACATGTACGCGTATATGTAGGTACGTGTGTGTATGTATCAGCAAAAAAACCATTCAAATGAACAAAAACAAGTACTGAAGAATTGTTTGAAAAGGAGGAAGTCAGCGACCAGAATCCAGCACGAGAATGCTTCTCAAAAGCCTACAATGAGTGCTTTAAACCGCAACGCAGCCACTGCAGAACGCTTTCGTTCGTTGATGGTGTCCGTGTGTGTGTGTGCGTCCGTCCGCCTGTTTCTTCCTGCCCTCATCCATTCCATCCCCTTACCAAGCAAGTACTTTTTGGTGAGCTTGCACATCCAGACAGACGCACACACACTCAAACACACGCACCAGAAGAGACCAGAGGTTGTTGGCGCACATTTACACTGCAATACTGCGAAAATGCACTGGGAAGAGCAATGTGACGAAGCGCAAACAATACCCTTTCCAACAGGCCTATAGCACCTTCCAGAAAAAGACGAAGCACACCGTTTTACCGCATCTTCCTCAAAATCGTCCAGCCTTGTTATATTAGTGCAATCAGCATTCTTCTTATGCCCGAAAACACCCTCTGGAGAAAAGAAGCACAATGTTTTACCGCACCTTGTGCAATCTTGTATAATAATCCAAACAGTATTCGCCCTGCGCCCCAAATCACATCTGGAGAAAAGGAGCAATCTGCTTTACCGTATTCTGCTTAAAATTGCGCGTTCTAGCTGAACTAACACAAATAGTATTTTTCCAACTAACTTTCGGGAAAAGGTAGAACGGAATTAGCACCGACACTCACCAGAGAGTAAACGCATCGTTAGCTTATTTGTAAGCAATCTTCGAAGGGGAGATGATCGACAGTTTTGCCACTCGAGCATTACACGAGCAACACTGGGTGTTTACTTGGATCAGCTGCCATTACAAGAATTTTGATGGCATGTTACTTATAATTTGATTTTTTGGTGGATGGTTACTTTTGAAATGTAAACGGTACCACCGGATGTGCATTACTGTCTCTTGAATAAGGCCCTTATCTTTATTTTGACAGTCTACTCTTCTTTAGTGGAAATTTGATTCTCCCAAGCTAAATTTTTTTAGCTCAACTCTACCCATTTTCTTTCAAACACAGATGATTTTATTGCTGCAGCAGTGAGAAATGGGGGAACGGTGAAGGGGGATTACTTATTTTATCTTCCTTTTCCTGGTACCCCTCTGTCACATCCTGAATAAGAAAAACTGGAAACCACATGAAAAGAGTGAAAAGAATCAGCCTTTCTGAAACGAAGACTGTAAAAGGCAATCAGGCGCGGCGATATTATTAACAACATACGCACTGTTACAGGCCATAAGAAATAAAAATCTCTCCACAGTTCGTTTACTGCGAAAGGTAGAGATACTCAGAAGTACTGTAATTTGCATGGTATCCGCAAGCACTCGCCGACAAGGCTTATTCCCTGTTTCGAGGTTTATTTACAAGCAAGCTGTAGTAGCGCGGGGCTGATTCCTCGGTATATGCCAGTATCGTCTGCCATCGAAGCGAATGAACGAATCGGAGAAGGATCTAATGTTGCACTGGCAAAATCTAAGCCCCCATCTTCTACAGGTCGTGCGGTGCCAACCAACAGTTAAAGGTACCATTAATATCATAAGAACAAGTGGTAATGAGACGATTCTATCTTAAGATGCGTTTGCGCCCACTGTTTTTACATGCGCGTAAGCTTGCCATGACTTCTGTGTGCTCAGTGGAAATTACGAAAAATTCTGGATACTACTGGAAGATTCGCAGCAGCAGCAGCAGCATCAGAAGGAGCAGTAGTGGTAGCAGCAGCAGTAGCAGCAGTTGCCGCAATAGCAGCTAGAGCAGTAAATCGATGTGTTTGCCTGCGAATAGCCGCTCAGTAGAGTTTTCACAAAAAAAGAGGAAGGACACATCATGTATGAAGAAAACGAGCAGCACTATAGCGGGGAGCTTCATCTACATAAATTCATTGAACGGAACAAAACAAACGCTGCTGCTGCTAGCTAGCTTGTAGATTTCTGAATTGCGAAGAATAGGAAAGGCAGCGTTGCTAGGATTTCTGTGAGCAGTCAAGCAGTCTCGAATTTTTGCGTAACAGCGACGCAAAAGAAAATTTTGGATAATACTTCGGCTCATCACTACTCCTTACCAGCTGGCACTTAAAATCGAATTTGCAATGCCCGGACATCAGCATGGGCACATCATGTCAGTGATTTTACTGGAAAGGTCCGACACGTCAGGCGCAGCTACGTCGAGCCCTCCGATCCTAGGCTACGTACCCTCAGATAGTACTCACTGCCCATTTGAGGCATGTGCATCGTTTCTTTGGAGGCTGGCCAAAAAATCGCTAGTAGGTACCACCGAAAAGACTACTCCGGAACGCCCCTGCTTCTCACAGAAACAGGATTTAAAAAAAAAAAAATTGACTTCTCATTAAAAATAAATTATCAGTGGTAAATTAACTACAGCAATTTAGTCCCCAGTGATAT